AGAGAGAGAGAGAGAGAGAGACAAAGAGAGAAAGAGACAATGAGAGAGACAGAGAGAGAGACAATGAGAGAGACAGAGAGAGAGACAATGAGAGAGACAGAGAGAGACAGAGAGAGAGATACATGCATACATATATGAATGAAAGAATGTGTGTGTGTGTATTTGTGCGTATATGTATGCGTGTGTATGTGCGTATGCGTGTATGTATTCGTGTGTGCGTGTGTGTATGTGTATGTGTATGTATGTGGTGTTTGTGTGTGTATGTGTGTGTGTGTGTGTGTGTGTGTGTGTGTGTGTGTGTATGTATGTGTGTGTGTGCTGGTATATCCTTCGACCCCACTGATAGTTATATGCGAATAGGGTCAAGTGGATATTTAATCAAAGATGTTATCAGATCGAGATCAATTGCCAACGTTTACGTAATGAGTACAGCCTTAGCCATTACTGTCAACGAAACTGCTTGTGCCTATCTCCCGCGCCCCATCTCGACACTTTCCCACCGTGAACGGCCGCTGCGCAGATCAAAAGTTGTATGCACTTGCCTGAGTGGCGTCAGAAATTTGTAGTTTTTACCGGACCAAAAACGGGGTCGACACTCGCCATTTGGTCACCATTGATAGGTCCATTGGTGGTGTTTGTTCTTCCTACGTTGTTTCTGTCTCTCTGTCCTTTTTCTCCATTTTTTCTTTTATTGCTGTGTGTTTGTTACTCTCATGTAACACCTGTTATCTTCGGCGGGTGGTTGGTGGGTGCTCTGGTGTCGTTTGCTCCTTCTTTCCTATCAAACATCTATAGACCCGATCTCTCTTTATGGGTGCTCTGGTGTGGTTTGCTCCTTTTTTACCTATCAAACACTTATCGTCCTGATTTGTATTTGTTTCTCAATTGTAACACATCTAATCTTCGGCATTTATGCGACCTTATGGTGTTGCAAGTTCCATAAAACTTTTACTAAAACTAAGCTGATCTCTCTCTCTCTCTCTCTCTCTCTCTCTCTCTCTCTCTCTCTCTGTCTCTCTC